GGGGGGGGGGGGGGTCCGACCTATTAGTACGACAATTGTATCCCCCCGGCATTCCCTCTTATATCTATTTTGAACATGATACCTCGATTTCAACTATTTTGTATTAGTTCTAGGATAGTTTAAAGGTTAAGATAATTTCTGGACAGACTAAATGCCGGGCCCACTCTGGCCACAAGTCCAATTTTGCTAATGTAAAACATTTGTGCAAAGTTATAAATAAAACGGAAGGGGGGTGGGGGTCAAAAACCGTTCATTGGGCCATATCTAATTTGAGCAAATACCTTGATAAGAATGAAATTCTTGAATTTTTAATCTTTCCTAAACCGAAAGTTATGATCAGGACTGCCAGATATCTATTTTTCCAGCCACATTTCCTTAAAAGGGCTATCTTTCAAGGCTGTGGCAGAAGTGTCCGATGTGGCTTAAAAGTGGCTTTTTTCAAAGTTTTACAGTAAACCCTTTAAATTTACATTTATCGACAGTTAAAACTATAATTCCAAGTTCATGACACATCACACAAACCAAAATTTGGCTGCATTTCTCTCTCTCTTGATTCTTGCAAGTTGTACTTTCAAAAATCGGGTATTTCAACTGTTTACGTCTATAGAGTACGTTCATTTGGTGGACACAATTTATAACTGTACAAGGAGTACAAGTGTTCACAAACCAGTTTTCAGCTTCAGGATACCTGAGTCACTTCATTTATCACTCAGAGGACCAAGATTCTTTTGAAAATAATCTTTTGTTTAGTGCTTTCATTTACAGTTATACAGCTTGGATTAGAATTGAAAGATACTTATGGCAGTTTTCATCTGTAAATATCCTCCTGTAGTGACGAAAGGAATAAGACCAAATGAATAAGACCAAATAAACTGACTGAATATATATATTTATCAAAAACAGTATTTATGCTAGATGCAGTATATCATAATCTAAACAATAACATGTGAAGTATGGAATATGCTGTGTACTGCATTCCAGGAATCCAGGGGCGCCACAGGGGTCCCCCAGCTGTCTTAGGCACATCTCCAGGAGCCATTGGAACTTGATAATACCCCTTGGTTAGGTCCAGCTTAGTGAATACCTTGGAACCATGAAGTCAAGCTGAGAAATCTGCAATATTAGAAAGGGGATATCTATCAGGAACGGTTTGAGTATTCAGGGTCGAGGAGTCAAGGAGACGAGAACCTGCGACGTCAACCAGGAGGTGATTGTGGCGTAGAAAATCTGATCCCAAAATCGGCGTGGACACGTTGGCTAGCAAAAAATTCCACTCAAAACGTCTGGAACCGAACTGTAGAGCTAAACAGCGGGAACCATAAGTGTCCATGGGGGATCCGTCGGCGGTTCTCAACTGAACACCAGAACCTGGAGCTGAAGGTGATCGGGGAAGGTGAGGGAACACTGACACAGAAGCACCGGTATCAACGAGGAACGTGGCGGAGCTGAGCTTGTTCTTGAGGAATAAAAGGGGTGAGGAGTGGGTTTCGGCGGGAACCATGTTTACAACATCCCCGCCGTTAACTAGTTTCCCGAAAAAGAACATGGCGACCTGCACTGGTTAGCCTGGTTTCCCCACTTGCAATGATACCAGCACTCTGAGGAGGTAGATGAGGATGTAGATCGCCCTGGACTGCTGGATCTAGTGCGACTAGAAGAGGACCTGGTTCTGGAGCTTCCGAGATACCAGTGATACATCCTCAATTGGTCTGTAGTCTTGAGACGAAAACTGCATGGACGGCATTAACTCTTTTCCACAAACGGTCCATAGTTCGTCTGCTCTGGTAGCCATCCGTCTAGGGTCAGCAATCGATTCTGTCAGTAGATGGGAACGAATATCTGCAGGGAGACGATCCATAAACATGCCTAAGAAAAAGAAACCAGGTTTCTCATCTTCAGGGAGGAGTACTAACATTTTATCCATGAGTTCTGAGGGTCTTTGATCAGTCAGAACCGGGATACTCTGGAGAGCCTGATACCTCTGGAAATTACTGAGAGTGTACATCTGGATAAGGCGGGTTCTCAGGGTTGCATAGGGATCTGAAGTTGGATTATGGATGAGATCTATGAGGCGAGTGGCAACGTCCTGGGGAAGGGCTGCAACACAGTGGTGAAACTTGGTTAGAGAAGTCGTCACGCCCTTGATCGCAAACTGGGCCTCAGCCTGGAGGAACCACACCTCGAGGAAGTCCGTCCAGAAGGAGGGAAGCTTGATGGATACCGTGGTGAGGGATAACTGACCATCAGGGGGTGAAGATACCTCATTATTGGTCGACATCGCTACTACGCTGAAAAAGAACACTCTATCGTCGGAACCTTACTTTTGAGTATGAAAAGAGCAGAGACTCGGTAGAAACCAATTTCGGGGGCTTCAACGAGAGGATTTAATTCCGACAAAAGAATCATGACAGGGTCACCAAAATGTAGCGACAAAAGGAATAAGACCAAATGAATAAGACCAAATAAACTGACTGAATATATATTTATCAAAAACAGTATTTATACTAGATGCAGTATATCATAATCTAAACAATAACATGTGAAGTACGGAATATGCTGTGTACTGCATTCCAGGAATCCAGGGGTGTCACACTCCCTTATTGTGCCTGTTATGGCTGGAATGCAGTGCTTATAGGATCCATTTAATTTTGATGCGGATCCGGATCCTGATCCTGGATCCGCATTGGAAAAAAAAATTGATCTGGATCCGGATCCAGGTCATTTCTTTAATATTTACTGATCTTTTCATAACAAAAAATAATTTTCAAATTTTTTGTTTATTTTTTCGCATATTTTTATCCTAAAACTTTATGAACCAAGAAATTTTTAAAATCCCTTTTTTCAAAAGTTCAGATTTTGGTTTTAGGAATAAAAAGTTTTTTATGCAGGTTTTGGTTGATATTTTACCCCTTGGATCCGGATCCGTGGATCTGCATATTTTTGCGGATCCGGATCCAGGAAGCCAATATCTTGCAAATCCAACGGATCTGGATCCTAAGTATTGCTGGAATGTATCTACTTTATCTCCCTAGCTTTGGACTAATTGTTGGGGTTTTAAAGGTCCATTTAGAACAGGGGGGATCCACATTGGGTTCTCTTGCAGATTTCACTTCCTTATGAATCCTTATGCCTCAATTGATGATCATGTTTTCAGTGAAATATTAAATTCCCCTTTTCCACCTCCCTTGGGGATTGCAAAAGCTATAAAAAGGTCTCCCCCCCCTGTTAGTTGCGCTTCTGATGCCTTATAGCTCGACTCATAACTTAGATTAAAAATGATTTTGGAGCATCTGCTCCTGCTATCCTGTATCTATTCAATAGCTAGTGGTCAAGGGAAGAGTGTAGGTATTCTCATTAATATGTTTATTTTTAATCAATTAATCAATTTCACTATTATCGTTTCAGTGTAGATATATTCTCTGTTTGTACCTGAAAAATAGTAATTATATATTTCTAGACATCAATATCCTTTTAACAGCTTATGTTAAACAAACGAACGAATTTTGAGACTCTCTCCTTTAATTCATGATTTTCTGGACAAAAATATTCTAGTAACAAAAAAAGCGCAACCATTAGGAAGAATATAGAATTGCTCCCGATGATTTATTTTACCAAAACAAATCTTTTCAGCTTTTTGGTTTGATTTTTTTATGAACTGTGCTACAGATGTAATTAGTACACCATATCCTATACATATGTGTATTGTGTACAGTGTGCACCTCCTTTACTGTACAGTTGTAATCTGTAATCTGTATCTTTACAGATGTACAAGGTGGTTAAGTATACATTATACTGAACATTTGTGTCTGCACGGGGTGGTGAAGTGTAAACTGTACAGTGTATTGAACATGAATATTTGTACAGGTGTACAGGGTGGAGAAGGATGTCCCCTTCTATCTGGCGTTTATGTCTCCGTAATGCGAAGAATATTTCATCCAGGTAAGTTTCTTTTTTTAATGTTGAATTGTTCTTTCTTCCGTTTTCATCTTTATTTAACCTGCATTTTAATACATTAGCCAATTTTTATTTATTTTTTCTATTGTAGATCGATCTAAAAAATTTCTTTATTTCAAGAATTATTAAATTTAAAATGTTACAATGTTTGGGATAAAAATATTTTTATTCAGTAAAAAGTTACATGCAAGTGGACGAAAATTACATGGGCAGAATAGGCCGTAAATATAAACAGCGCTGCCGCTTTTGTTACGTGTCCACTTTTAGTAAGGCTTTGGACACATCGATTAGAAAAATGGAAGCGCTGAATTAAAAATTAAATATTGCATATCTAACGTTATTTTGTTACATTTTAAATACGGTTTTACAGAATAGTTCTATTTAGGAATGCAGAAGCAAATACTGACTGAAATAGAACTAATGTTAACTTCTACTCTGCTCCCAGAAACTTGTCATGTACTTGGTAAGAAAATCGTTGATGGATTGATAGTGATTTTATGCTTAGTGCAATAACTTATTAAAAAGGGATTTAAGATGGGGGGGGGGATGCAAATCAAATGACCATTTGTTGTAAATTCGTGGTGTTGCCTTTTAAATTTTTCTTGTTATATTTTGCAAAATTTCTTAGTTTACGCATTATTTTATTTTAAAAAATGCTTAACTATCGTCTTCTTTAAAAAGTATAGTATTTTTCAAAATTGGTATCCATGAGCATTGCAAATATCTGATTTTCACTTAGATTAATGGGATCAACTCACGTTTTTTTTTATTCTTTAATCAAAAAACCTGCCTATCATTTATGATATTTTTTAAAACAAATAAAGAACGTACCCGGAAGAATGCGCAATTTTCGCGATCATACAATCTGGAAAATCTGTATTCGTCGTTTATAGCGATACAATTAAGACAACTTTCTTCTTCAAATATGTTTTCTTCCGATCAATTTCAAACAGTAGAGAGAAAAACATTTAAACTCTTAATTTAATAAATGCTTGTTCAAATAATTATTAATAAAAAGTCGTAATTATTTTAATGATATAATGGCCGACCACCGTATGAATATATATTCCCCTGTGTTAAGTTGAGGAGACTATACCTCGAGGAGCGTATGTTGACCCTGACGAGCTGCTGGACCGTAAACTGAGGACTGGACTGAACGCTTATATTCCAGCCAGGGTGGATATAGAGAAACCAGAGTTCGAATCAGAAGCATTCAGGGATACATTGGTCATCTATGGGAGTCTAAACTGGCAAGCTTTCCCTTTTTTAAAACTATTTATTAACCCCAAAAATTTCTTTATTTCATATAATTCAGTGATAAAACCCACATCTTTTTTCGATTCGATCAAAAATTCATTTGAAAAGGGGGGCCGGTATGCTCAACAAAGAGATTGTGTACAATACCTACTTTAAAATATTCGTTAAAAAATGTTGTTTTTAACAATAATTTGATTTTACCATTTGCTTAACATTTGGATTTGATTTACATCATCTTTAATCTATATTTCAGTATAATGCTTCCTATTCATACCCGGTATCATAAACCTGGCTCATCTTATAAACCTGGGGATAAACCTTCAGCAATACTCAAGATACAGAACCCAAGGTAAACCTATAAACCCGGGGATAAACCTTCAGCAATACTCAAGATACAGAACCCAAGGTAAACCTATAAACCCGGGGATAAACCTTCAGCAATATTCAAGATACAGAACCCTAGGTAAACCTGTAAACCTGTGGATAAACCCTCAGTAGTATTCAAGATACAGAACCCTAGGTAAACCTTTAAACTTGGAGATAAACCTTCAGTATTACTCAAGATACAGAACCCTAGGTAACCCTTTAGTAATACTCAAGATACAGAACCCTAGGTAAACCTTCAGTATTATTCAAGATACAGAACCCTAGGTAAACCTTTAAACCTGGAGATAAACCTTCAGTAGCATTCAAGATACAGAACCCTAGGTAACCCTTTAGTAATACTCAAGATACAGAACCCTAGGTAAACCTTTAAACCTGTGGATAAACCTTCAGAAGTATTCAAAATTACAGCGAACAAAAGCTTTCGTAAAAAATTAAAAAATTATGTTCGTATTTCGCAAACTTACGCATTTTTTCGCGAAAATGAATTAAGCGAATACAGTGTAAGAAAATGCGAGAAAATGCGAATTTTCGGTTTAAAAAAAAAAAATTTCGACGCGATTTACCTTTTTCGCTGGAAACCCTACTGAAGATACAGAATCCTAGATAAACCTTTAAACCTGCATGGCTGAAAGGATCATAAAAGGAGGAGCTTGTTTATTAAGTACAAAGTTTGTTTGATTGATTGATTGATAAATTGTTTTATGTACTAAGAATAAATATTTAGGATATTACTGAGCTGTGAAGGCGAAGACATAACAGAAAATTGTACAGGTGAGTTCAAGATAACTTGACAAGATATTTTTATAATTACTTAAACTTTTTTAGGACGGGCTGTTGTGAACGCTTACTGTCCTCAGTTTGAGTCAAAGTGTCAGTACGTGAATCTTCCGTACAAAATAAACGTTGCCAGTCTAGAGGTATAAAATCCACCAAATTGTATATATTCCGCCAATTGTTTAAAATCCGCCATGTTGCTTTACTTCCGCCATATTCTTTTAATTTTCCCGCGTTGTTTTAAACCCACCATTTTGTTTAGAATTGCCATGTTGTTTTACTTCTATATTGTTTTAATTTTCCTGTGTTGTTTTAAATCTGCCAAATTGTGTCAAATTCAAATCCGCAATTTAATTATTCTAAATCTGCCATATTGCCTTAAAATCTCCCCTATTGTTAAATTTCAAAGTAATTTTTATTTACTTAAAAGTTAAATCATAAAATGGTAAATGCATACGTATGTGAGAACCTTTTTTAAGATTCGTTTTTGTTTATCTTATAATTTCTTATTATAAACCTATGTTTTCAGGTAAGTGTACCTGTGGGTGATGTTGAGGATTCCAGCCTAGTAGTTGGTGTAACCACCCTTGTTACATGTGGTGCTACAGTTTACCTTCTTATTACTATGTTTAGAACCAGCAAATAGTAATTCTTTAATTTTTTATGTTAAGACAAAGCAATAATATTCCTCAATAAGGAAGTCCGCAAAATTCTATGTTATTTTTTATCTGAATTTTTTTTTATTTATAAATGCTCAATTATTATTTAACTAGGCTTTTAGGGCGCTTCGCGCCCATCTTCTATTTAAATTGTAAACATGTTTTTTTTGTTTACATTTTTAAACAAAGAAGAAGAAAATTTTGCGGATTTTCAAGAATATAAATTTTTTTACAAAATTAAAAACCTTTAAAACACATTTTTTTTTTAAATTTTATCATTCATAAACCTTCCCAGTGGTCACGTGATGTCCCACAAAAAATTTGGGCCCGATCGGTTCAGCCGTTTTGACATTTATTGGACACAAACAAACAGACAGATAAGCCAAATTTATATATAGATTAATTCCAATATGAGAATTGCACCCATTGGTTGATTTTTATCCCCTCAAAATTCAACCAATTTCAAAACACAACTTAGAAAATAGTTTTTGATTCCCAATTTCTAGTCAATTTATGCATTTGGATATATTTAATCGTAAAGGTCGTTTTTGTTATTATGTATTTGAACTTTTAGTTATATTGTACAATTTATTTGTAATAAGTTGTTTAGTCTTGTATTTTTATCTCTGTAATATTTAAGATAATTATCTTTTTCAGAAGTATTAAATGATTGCAAGTTTTAAGTAATATTAAAATGAAAAATGTTGCGCAGACCTGAAATTCTGATTTTAAAGCGATGGCCCTGAAACAGGAATCACTTCTTAGATTTTTTTAGGAATAAAGCAAGAACTTTTATTTCTTATGTAAATTTTTAGTAAGTTTTTTTTATAAATTCTTATCACACAAATATCTGGATAATTTTGGGAAAGTAAAGGAATTGAGTTGTTTGTCAAAAGATTTAGATGGGATTTTGTAGAAATTCAGGGTATTATGATCCAGATGCGGCTTATGATATTTCCCGATATTCAAGATACAGAACCCAAGGTAAACCTATAAACCCGAAAATTAAAAAATTATGTTCGTATTTCGCAAACTTACGCAGTTTTTCGCGAAAATGAATTAAGCGAATACAGTGTCAGAAAATGCGAGAAAATGCGAATTTTCGGTTAAAAAAAAAAAATTCGACGCGATTTACCTTTNAAAAACATTTGGGATTAGAATAATGATTAAGCTTCAAGGTACCAACACATTCCATTATCGTATTATTAAAGGTTAAAAAACAAAAACAAAAAATTAATGTAATTCTTTTTTATACATTACACTGTTGAGCTTGGAATCATTGAATATCTATTGACGAGAATTTCTCTGTTTTCTGGTTTCACTGTAATATTAAAGAAGTTAACCTTGTCAGCGTTAGGTGAAGGTTATCCTTTGTGTTCCAGCAATATTTATTTATTATATATTTAAAGAAGTAACCTTGTCAGTGTGAGGTGAAGGTTATCCTTTGTGTTCCAGCAATATCTATTTATTATATATTTAAAGAAGTAACCTTGTCAGAGTGAGGTGAAGGTTATCCTTTGTGTTCTAGCAATATCATGTCTACTACTGGTTTCAGCAATACTTTATTGGAGTGCTCAATGCTTAGGTAAAATATCAGTCAGGATTTTTCATAAAAAGAAATTAATATTTGATTATCATTATTTATCATTTCTTATAATTTTTAGCAGTATTAGTTGGCATTTTTTCATTAATATCATTATTTATCATTATTCATCAATATTTATCATTATTTATTGTTATTTATCACTATTTATCATTGTTTATCATTATTTAGTATTATTTAGTATTATTTAGTATTATTTATTATTTTGTATTTTAATTAAAGTTGAGAGAGATGCTTCTGCTAGACAAGAACTGGTCTCCGGGTTGGCTAAGAGCCTAGATCAGGTTCAAGAAGAAACTGGTCCTGGATCCAGAGCTCCACATCATCTTTGTATCCTCGTCCCCTTTAGAGATAGATTCCAGGAACTACTAGGTATAATTTCTATCTGTTCAGTCAAGACAAATATTTTTACATTTTATCTTTAACTTTCAAATCATTTTTTCTTTCTATTTTTCATCAAAATTCCCTAATTTGGCATATTATCCTTTAAAGGGAGAGACCGGCTAGACATGGTCGTTGAGGTGAAAATGCAGTATTGTAGAGAAAAAATTTAGGATTTATTTGATACCAATGAGACATTTTTACGGTGTACAATTTTTAAATAAGGATGTAAAGTCTTTTGTAATATTTCACCAGTTGTTTCAGTGAGCAGAAAAAACGTGTTATTACAAATCTTAAACATAATTGACAAAACATGTAACAAAAACAATTCTACAAACTAGTTGAGAAAAATAATGAAATAATTTCATTGAAAATAAGTTATTATTTAGAATTATTTATTTAGAGTTTGCACCACACATGAAATCATTCCTGGACACTCAGAAAATATCCTACGAGGTCTGGGTCCTAAACCAAGTAGATGGATACAGGTTAACATTCAGAGGGCAAATCTTTCAAGTCTTAAATCTCTAATGTCCATTTGGTAATGACTATTTGGTAATGACTATTTGGTAAAGACTATTTGGTAATGAATATTCAGTAATGACAATTTGCTAAGAAGAAAATTTGGTAAAGACAATTTTGGTAAGTTCACAAAAGTGACAATTTGGTAAGGATAATTTGGTAAGGTGAAAATTTGGTAACGACAATTTGGTAAGTACATAAATTGACAATTTGATAATGACAATTTGGTAACTACATAAATGTACACTGTACATACATATTGGCATTTAGTAATGATTAATTTTCAATTTTATATTCTAATGAATGATGAAGAGGATTATTTGTTTATAACAAAGAGCCTCATTTCACATAAAGTTAATATTTGGTATGTACACGGTTGTCAGAAACCAGCCAACGAATGGGTTTAATTGGTTTGCCAGCCACCGGAAGTATCTCCTTGATCCCACCGGCTGGGTTTAAAGCTTGGCGGGATTAAAGGTCCAGCAATTAAACAGGTATTGGGACGGTGCTTCCTATATCTGGCGGCAGTCTGGGGGGTCTCATACAGATTCCATTTCCTTATGTTCCTTACATTAAAGTAACAATTTGGCAATAACAATTTGGTTAGTACATAAAATTGACAATTTGGTAATGAAAATTTTGGCAAGTTAAATATTGGCAATTTTTTAGTTTTATATTTGATTAAAAAGTAATTGATTCTAGGGAACTCGTATTTCTTTTTTAGAAAAAAATGCTCAATTTTTTTTTGAAAATTCGCAACATTTTCATCACCTCTTCTATAGGGGGGGGGGGATTTTTACAAGACTCAGAGGGATAAAATACTTAAAAATAAACTGGCTATATGTGTGTATATAATTGCAAGGGACATGGTCTTGACAAATAATGGAAATAAAGTATTGAATTCTGGTTGGAACCCCAGTATTCCCAAGTCAGCCAGTGTTTGCATGGTTATAGAGTATTTCCTAAATGAGGAAACTCTATGCAGATCACACAACCTGACCAGAGCACCAACTCATGCTGCCAATTTGAATGAAATTCAATCCATATTTACTGGATCTAAATGAGTTAACATCAAATCAATAATTTTATGATTTTTCATACAGCCACTTCCTATTGCTTCAAAAAATGATTTTAGGGTCATAGTCTAGGGATCTCGCTGATTGTTATAACTTCCCAAATTGTCCTATTCTCTAATTGAACAGACAGTGTCAGGAATGGATAGATTTACCTGTCAGCTTTAAAGTTTATCTAGTTCAGTCGCTGAAACCAATTGATATCTAAATAAAGTGCTGCCCTCCATGTGTCCTCTTGAATCATTTTATTCATCTGCCAGTTTTAATTCAACTCAAATGAAGATTTCTTTAAATACTGTTATTTAGATTTAACCGCGCTTCCTTGATAAATGTTGGGTTTAAAGAGAGTTCAAAATACTGTGATTATATTGGGATGCATGATGTTGATCTACTGCCGATTAATCAAAGGTAAAGTGAGTTCTAAATCCTGTGATTATATTGGGATGCATGATGTTGATCTCCTGCCGATTAATCAAAGGTAAAGAGAGTAGTACTGTGATTATATTGGGATGCATGATGTTGATCTACTACCGATTAATCAAAGGTAAAGTGAGTTCTAAATACTGTGATTATATTGGGATGCATGATGTTGATCTACTGCCGATTAATCAAAGGTAAAGAGAGTAATACTGTGATTATATTGGGATGCATGATGTTGATCTACTGCCGATTAATCAAAGGTAAAGAGAGTAATACTGTGATTATATTGGGATGCATGATGTTGATCTACTGCCGATTAACCAAAGGTAACTGTGATTATATTCGGTTGCATGATGTTGATCTCCGGCCGACTAATCAAAGGTATAGAGAACTCTAAATACTGTGATTATATAGCTGGGAAATAACTATTTTTTTGGGGTTTTTTTTCTCACCGTAACTCAATATTGATTAATATGCAGGCGGTAAAGGAACTGAACACTTGTCACAAACTCTAATTTTCGACTACTTATATCTTATATCCTCCCCTGGGCTCCATGATTATACTTATCCAGGGGATACTCCTATGCATATATCCTCCCCTGGGCTCCATCCTAAATATGAATATGTTTAGGTTAGATTATACTTATCCAGGGGATACTCCTATGCATATATCTTCCCCTGGACTCCATCCTAAATATGATTATGAAACTTTTATTGGAGGAATTTTTCTCATCTCCAGGCAAACATTCAAGGAATTAACAGATAATATTTAATAATTAATTTTTAACAATCTAATAATATTTAATAATTGGCAAATAATAATCTAATACTTTTCAAATAACAAACAGATAGTATAGTTATCATGTAAAAATGATATTATTTATCAAATGATTATCTAATAGTTATAAAAAGGTGATATAAAAGTTATCAAAATGTAATATGACAGTTATCAGAAAATAGTCCTAATAGTTTTCAAATAATAATCTAAAAGCTTTCTAAAAATAATAGTTTTCTGATAGTTTCTCTAATAGTTTTCAAATGATCTGATAGTTTCTCTAATAGTTTTCAAATGATAATCTAAAAGCTTTAAAATAATAATCTAATAGTTTTCTGATAGTTTATCTAATATTTTTCCAATGAAAATCTAATAGTTAAAGAAAATCTTAATCAAAGTCATCAACAAAATGTAGTTTATGTTTCGTCAGCATCAAACTTGCTTTCATTAAAGACCTAACTGTTCAATTCTTTAATGCTTAATTTGATTAGAAAATGACTTCAGATTTTTTTTTTAATCCTAGATGCATACTTTTACAAGCGCCACAAATTGTTAAACCTTCCTTAGACATTTTTGTGTACGCCCCTCCTGATGTTTACACTCCTGGTCTAACTATCTTTAAATTAATTGTGGTTTTTAAGTTCGCAAAATTTTAGTAACTTTTTATATTTGATTAGAATCATTTAAAATTATGTTAATTACTATTCGGTGTTGGATATTTTTTTCTTCAGTTTCTTACAAAAATTAAGTTTGATGTTTGATGTGTTGTTAAGACATATTATTTAACTTTTTTAATGATTAATTTTAATCTCAAATTAATAAATTAAATTACAATTATCTTTATATAATATTATCTGTGTGGATTAGTTAGTAGATGGAATGAGCAATAAGTACTGGGGCTGGGGGCTGGAAGATGATGAATTTTTTGTCAGGTAAATATTATGATTTCAATAATGAATACTATTTAAGTACAAAGAACTAAACGTCTTGAAAATAAGTTTTAAGATCTTACCTCGCATAGTTAGCTGATATGTTTCAGTGATAACAACAACAATATAACCAATACTGCATATAATCCTTTTAAAGGGACTGTAAGCGTAACTTCAAGTTTTCCTCCATGCAAAGATAGCAATGTCTGATTAATAATGGTACCCTTGAAATCTTGATCTAATTACATCGAAAAATGTTTATTTCTGATTTATCAATTGTTTCTTGTGCAAGTCACTTTTGCAGAGAAACCAGGAATGAAAATGAACGGTTAAAAAAAATATTGATTAATTCTTAATCATACAAAGCTTCTTTTTAGGGTACCATTGTAGATCGGGTATTGCCATCAATTTGAAATTACGCATTTAGTCCTTTGAAGGGGTTCTTGGAAAAATACAGTGTGTTTTCAGACTACGGCAGTCCAATATAGAGATATCCAGACCGAAGCAGATCGGGACAGGGAAAACAAATACTTTCAAGCATATTCACACAGCTAAGTAGGCAATTAATTAAAAGAAGTCTGTTTTATAATTTTAAAATGTTTGGACAGGGGTATATATTTTCTTTTAAAATCATTCCTCCCCCTCCTTTAAAACCATTTTCTTCCCCATGAAGTTATGTAAGTTTTATGGTTTAATCGCCTTCCCATGTCCAAATTTTTTATTTTTTTCACCAATCTTCAAAATTTATTTTTTACTCTGGGTTTGGAGGGGGACCGATTCCGAAAAATGTATTTGGTTAAATATGGTCATTCAACAAGCACTAGAGGGTGGGAAAATATAATAAGGTCAAAACGTTTAGCTTTTTTGGAGGGGGGTAAAAAATTATGTCTGCAACCTTTAATCTTTTATTTTTACTTTTTTTAAATGCAATATGTTTATTTTAAAATAGATAACGTTTAGGGAGAGGAAACGGGATAATGTAAAATGTTACAATCAAGCAAACTTGACAAGACGGAGAGATCGGCAAACTGGACTTAGGTAATCATTCATCAACCAATAAATCAATATTACTTATAATGGCGGCCTTAGGTAATCATTCATCAACCAATAAATCAATATTACTTATAATGGCGGCCTTATAAGACCAATCAGAGGTTTAACAAGTGACAAAAAGTATCATAAGTAGTATAGTAATTGAAATTATTACTGAATTTGAAACCTTTTCTTGGAAGAAATACACGAAATCTTTTATGTTCAGTACATTAGACTACCACCTGGTTAAGAAGCAGAATCTGGTGATAGATAAAGCTGATGTACATCTTCTAGATATTAAACTCATCTGTGATACTGATCTTACACCCTGGTGTAATTGTACAGGTATATTCCTTTAACTTCCTGGCATTCTAGCAACCTATAGGGTGTTCCACAAAACATGACTTTTCATCTGAGAACTTTGAGTTTATTTGTGACATTCAGTTGTCAACCTACTCCTTGATTTACTTGGGTTACTTGGTGGATTATCTCCAGAATTCCAGGTAGGAACATTACGGAGATTTCTGGTTAGTCCTCAGAATCATGATACAGACAAACAGACAACCATAACTCTCATGACTCCTGGCACAGCTAGTAATTAAAAAGATTCAAGGTCAACTCCATCTAGTAATGTTGTAAATTCTCTTAAAGTTTTGGCCTCCTTGGTTTCAGTGGATAGTTTTTTCCATGTTCTTACAACTCTGTCTGAGAAGAAATTTGCCCTCATGTCAGTCTTGGACCTCCTGGGTATCAAGTTCTCATGGTATGAAGTATGTCTTGTTAAGTTTTCATTGTCTGTACCTACTGTGTTGAACCAAGCATTTTATCAACATTATCAGAACCCTGCAAGATTTTGAATGTCTGGATTAAATCTGCTCTTGTTCTCCTAGCTTTCAAAGATTGTATTACCCCAAGTTCAGGTAGTCTTTCCTCATAATTTTTACCCTTAAGACCGGAGATCAGAGTACTCTCTTCTGTACTTTTTCAAGAACATCAATGTCACTTATATTTTTTAATATCAAAGACGCCCTTCAATTCGTCTGGCTACCGTCATGTTTTGTGGGACACCCTGTACCTACCTACCTACCTACCTACCTACCTACACTATCCTACCTACCTAGATTTTATCTGCCTAGGTGCTCCCCCTGAGACAGCAGCAAAGGACCGAACTAGAGACGAAGATGTTATTGTACCGTTAATTAAACGCAAACCATGATTGTTTCAATGTTAAATACACAACAACAACAACATCATCAGACGTCTTGTATTTATGAGACTAATAAACACATTGTTTACATTAATTAGCAAAAGGCATGGGCATTGAGATGTTACCCGAGTACTTTACTGTCAATAATTATTTGGTTCTTAATTTTGCTAAAACAACACATCACAACATCACAATGTTAAATAAATCCAAACAATAAGCATTGCCATGTTAATCAAACAATAAAACAAGCAATGGTTAATTTATTACAAACAATAATCAATGTACATTGTACATTTAATAAAACCCCCAAAAAAATATTGTACTGATTTTCAAATAGAACTGAATTGTCTTGAAATCCAGTTTTCCATGTTAAATGACTAATCTTGTAGCAGTTAAAACAGTCACTTATGTTTTTAAACTGTATTTTCCTCTTGTAAATCTTCCAATATTGTTATCCATGTTTTCACGCATGTTTGTGTGCGTTTCAAGTTTTTTGTTCATTCAACGTCACAAACAGTGTTTTTTTTAAGCTGTGGTACACCTTAAAAGACAAATGACCAGAAATCAAGTGAAAGTTTATATTTTATCATGAGAAACGAGCCAGTTACCGAATCTTTTGTTGCCTACTTCCAAATTTATTTTGGAGACCAATGTGTCGTCCTGTATCAGTTTTCCATATAATGAAAACTGTGTATTTTAGTGTCCGTTTTTTTTATTTCTTCTTATAAAGTTTTTGAGTCTTAAAATGTGTTAAATATTTTGTAAATATTTATTAGTTTAGTCTAATTTGAGTTCTTTTATAAAGCTAACATTTGTGTATTGTGTACAATCTTCTTCTCTATTTATCGCAAATTTCCCGTTTATATATCTTGCAGGAAAATGGCAAACGAGAAGTAAGTTGCAAAAATGGAGTTTGCCGATTTAATAAAGATATCTAGGATTGATAATGTCAGGTTAGTTAGACTACAAAAAATTATTGCACGGGTGCACGAAAGCATTTGTGTGGGGGGGGCACTTGTTTGCGTGCATCATTTTGGTGCCCCCTCCTTAAAAACCCCATTTAATAAAACTATTCGATCATTTACACACATAAGTGTTAATAAATTGTTCGATTAATTTTCTTAAGTGGACACTCCCTCTTAATACTGTGGTGTAAGCTTCAAGTGGTAAAAAATAGAGGTGGAAACGTTCATTTCTTAAAAATATCTATATTTTCATAGGATTTGGACCAGTACAAACGTCGTACCCACAAATGTCTGACGGTACAAACATGAGACTTACAAACGTCGGACAGTACAAACGTCGGACCAGTACAAACGTCAGACCAGTTCAAACATCGGACCAGTACAAACGTCGGACCAGTACAAACGTCGGACGGGTACATTTATAAGGAAAAACGTCGGACCAAGGAGGAAAAAATATATTTGAATTTTCAGATTGAAATTCTTGTAAACTAGCAATTTTCTCTCAAAAAATATTATTCATAATCTCACAAAGTCTGGATACATGGACGAGGAGACTGCTAACTATATTGAGGTCAAGCAGGGAGGACGGCACCTACTTGATTCAAATCAGTTTGAATACAGGGTTACAAAGAAGAAACCCAACAAAACCTATTACCAATACATTCAAAGTTGTAAATAATGAGAATGACAAGATTATCAGTTTCCTGAGAGAAAAGAGTACGTGAAATAGAAAAACAAGTAGTTAAAGAAAGCTCTGGAAATATAGCAATAAGTCCACGAACTGTTCTTGGAAACATCTACAACATCGGGTTGCAAAGATATAGGGATTAAACTGTATGATCTTGTAGAATTTATTGTTTGAAATCTCTAAGGTCTACAACAGTGGGTTGCAAAGATATAGGGATTAAACTGTATGATCTTGTAGAATTTATTGTTTGAAATCTCTAAGGTCTACAACAGTGGGTTGCAAAGATATAGGGATTAAACTGTATGATCTAGTAGAATTCATTGTTTGAATTTTTTTAAACAATGGTCCATTCAAAATCTACCAAGTCCGACGTTTTTTCTTATAAATGTACCCGTCCGACGTTTGTACTGGTCCGACGTTTATACCAGTCCGACGTTTGTACTAGTCCGACGTTTGTACTGGTCCGACGTTTGTACTGGTCCGACGTTTGTGCGTCCGACGTTTGTACTGTCCGACGTTTGTGGCGTCCGACGTTTGTACTGGTACCCAAATCAATATTTACACTGAAAGCAGTATTGATTGAGGCTTTTTTAACAGAACTTTTTTATTTAAGGAAAAAAGAGAGATTTTAAATTATTTTTTTTTAACATGATGTAATTAGACTTAAATGGATTACATGCATAATTTCAAGTGACTCTCCGATGTACCTTTAAAACATTGAATTCTACATCGTTTCTCAAGCAAGAAATGCACGAGTCACTTTTGTAGAGAAACTACAAATGAAAATAATCGGTTTTCAAAATGGGAAACATGGATATTTAATGCAATACTTAATCAGACAAAGCTTTGAGCGGTATTGTTGAAAATCAGAATTGAAATTATGTCATGTCTACAGTTACTTTAAACCTCTCAATTGATCCTATATTAATTATTATTAATGAGCCTCCCCCCTGCGTACCACGCGTAGGGGGGTCCGTGCACCTAGGCCCCCCCCCCGCATTTTTGGATCATTACTAGTATGAGCAGATTAAAAACTGAAAATTCAAAATTACTTTTTCATTTATTTTCATACATAGGGAAATTTATATTCATTTTTAGTCCGGAGAAGAAAAAATATTTTATTTCTAGAGTCCGTCGAGCTGGTAAACCCTGTATAGAGGCTACTGTAGCTGTTACAGGTCATCATCTCATAATCTCCAGCTCGGATACCAAGGATTCAACAGATAGGTCGGTTTTCATTTTTAATAGATTGGTCGGATAGGTTTTCTATTTATAGTAGACAGGTCGGTTTTTATTTAAAATATTTATTCAGGTCGGTTTTTATTTAAAACATTTATATAGGTCGGTAGTTTCATATTCAATAGACATGTCGATTTTCATTTTTAACATAGAAGTCCGTTTTTATTCTTAACACGGTTTTATTTTTGATTGACAGGTCTGTTTTCATTTTTAGTGGATTGATATTTTAAATTTTCAATGGATAGGTTGTTATTCATTTTCAGCAGACAGGATGGGTTTAATTATCAAAAGACAGGTTTGGTTTCCTTTTTGATGGACATATGGTTTGTTTGTATTTTTTAATAGAAATGTTTGGTTTTTTTTTAAATGGTCAGGTGGGTTTTTTATAATGAGAAGACAGGTCGGTTTTTTATTTGACAGAAAGGTATTGTTTCTACAAACATTTTGGTTGGTCTGTTTAATGATCTACTAAAGATATCTGTTTACAGAGAAATGTGGTTACTGCATCGAGGTATTCTATCTGTAAGCAAAGAAACTGAATCCAACAGGTGTTGTAATCATCTTCATAATCTTTATTTTCATGATTTTAATAAGTATTGTAATAATTATCATAATTTTAATCATTATCAAATTGCAATCATTATCATTATTGTAATCATTATAATTTTTTAATAATTATGATTGTAGTCTTGATTGTTATCAATATCGAAATTATTGATTAAAATAATAATTGTTTTCTATTATTATCATGTTCGTAATTATTTTCGATATACATCACTATTAAAAAAATGATTAGTGTTTTTTTTCTTAGATCTGGGACTTTACTTCTGAAGTATAAAGATATGAGAGTATTTAACCTAGATATTATAGGTAAGCACTTGTTGATTATAATTAAAGTAATAATAACTTTCCCTTGTTTTTTCAATTGTTCTTTTTTTACCTACTTTTTCTCAAGTACGGATTAAATTAGAAAAGTCAGCCATGACGTGATAAGTTCCCTCCCCCCCAGATAAAAATTGCTCAAATATTAGCATTTAAAAATGATTTTCTTAAATGGCCCAGTCATTTTACTGTTTTTCGTTTTTGGGCTAGTTTTACCCTAATGCTTCCTAAAAAATGTGTCGCACATCTGGGATTTTTTCAGGGGCACCCTACCCCCCCCCCCCCCTAGGTTTTGACCTACACGAGGTTGCGTGATTGTTAAATTACTATCGATCTATCGACGTCTTAATTATTTCTGTTTGCAGGTCAGGACTGTCTGACCGCTCTAACCACCTCCCTGCAAGCTCTGAGGTAAATATTCACGGCATTGTTGTTTCCTTTTACTCAACCTGTTGTTTCATTTAGATACTCAATATTCATTCTAACTAACTTTTCCCAATAAATAAAAATATTTCCCAAAAAAATGATGATTTGTAAAAATATTGTTTTAATAAAAAAATTGATGATACAATTTTTTTTACAAAATTACGAAATTGCGAGAAAAATTAGGATTTTGATAATACAAATATTACGCCAAAAATTAAGGATTTGTAAAAATTTACTTCGAAAACGTGAAATTTATAATTTGATTTTTGTAAATTTGCAGATTTAACCTTAAAAAATGGTATAGTCTGACATATAAAATGTCCGCGAAATCGGCTCCCGAAACCACTAATTGGGTCAATTTTATGTCTAAGCATTGAACGCTGCACAGTTGGTTCCGCGTCCGGACAAATTGAAAAAATAAGTTTTTTCAAAAATTAAAAAAATTATTAAATAGATTTATTTTTGCAAATTTGCAGATTTGAGACTTCAAAAAAAGTTTTAACCTGATACAAATTTACAAAATTGTGAGAAAATGTAGAATTTTAATCAAAAAAATATTTATCATTTTTTTCAAAAATTCAAAATTTATTTTGCAAATTTGCAGATTTGAAGCTTTAAAAACAAAAATGTTACAGACTGACATGTAAAATGTCCGCGAAATCGGCATCTTGAACATCTGTGAGCTGGGGTTGGAAGGTGGAAAGGGAAAATTTCAAAGAGTTAACCCTCATTCAATGTTTTACTCATTAACAAAAAAAGTAAATTGCCATTCTTGAACATTTTACAATCAATTAATCAATCAATTAGTTTATTGTACAGGGTTACCCACAAAAGATAAGAGTGTAAAGACGACCTAAAACTTTAAATATATTAATTCCAAGGAATTAATCAAGTCTTCAGTCTTAATTAAAGTCGTTTAATGGCTTAATTATTTATTTGACAATGGAATAAAACAAGTAAACTGTTGTAGGGAACTGTTAATATAAGGAATTACAGACAGTATAAATGTCTTTAAGTCGTCTCTGAAGTCTCATCCTTTGTGGGCTCCCCTGTATTTTTGTATTGTCGTTTAGTAATGTGGAAGAGCAAACCTCATCATATCCTTTCTTCTATAATCCAGGATTCAAAGGTATATCCTATCTGGTAATTCCCTCATTCACAACAGTACTCTTAACACTTTTTTTCTGATCAATTATGGGGTAGTTATTGTCATTTTTTGATTCTATCACTTTTGCAGAGAAACCACAATTAAAGATAATAAGTTTAAAAACTATAATGCCATCTTTGCATTTAGGGTCTCTTAAAATTAAACGTCAAAACGGTGGAACCGAATGGGTCCAACTTTTATGTAGTCAGGAATTATGAATTTCCCAGAGAAAAAATTCCTACTTTTTATCCAGGATTGGAAGATGGTTGGTGTCTTTTCCGTCCAGAGGAGGAATATTGCAAGGTCAGCAATCTTCTAAACAATATAATTTCACGCTGATTGCCAAATATTCTAAAAATTAAAATTTGATAAACCATTTGACCAATTTGATAACTTTTGAACTTGATAATAATATTTCTTTAAAAGTAAGTAAAATAAATAAGATTACAAACAAATAATTAAATGAATAAAAAAGTCAGTGCAGTAGTACAGAAATTAATAATAATAAGTTAATCTGAATAAAAGGAATGTGTTTTAGTTGATAAAAGGAGCTGAGTCCACGTGGCGGGTATCACGTGTTAACCACGAGTTTAGTGTGTGCGCCACCTATGGTAAACTACTGATAGTTCCTACTAACCTTACAGATTCACAGATCCTTACTGTGGCCAAGCATAGAATAGGGTTAGTAGTTTTTAATACAAAATTTGAAATTAATTAATATTTTTTTTTTATTGTATTTTTCAGTTTTAAATCTTATTTATTTCCTAAACTTATTTGTCTTTTTCAGTGGAAGATTTCCTGTTCCTTGTTATCTTCATAATGTAAAGAACAATTCAATCCCACTGGTCAGGTAGTCTTGGAAAAATAATTAATGATTGATTGATTGATTGATTGATTGATTGATTGATTGCCTGGTTGACTGACTGACTGACTGGCTGTTGATTGATTACTGTTACTTGTTCAGTGGAAATGTTAAAAATTGTTGACAAATTAATTGGTAAAATAATGGATTGATTGATGAAAAAATTGACTGATTGATGGTTGAAGGCTGAATTGATTAATTGCTGGACTTATTAATTGATTTGATTGATGGATTGATTGATTGATTGATTGATTGATTGATTGACTGATTGATTGACTAATTGCTTGATAAATTGATGGGTGAAATGATTCGTCAATTTATTTATTGATGGAAAAATGAATGGATTAATGACTAAAAAAAATAATTTCTTGCCTTGATTGTTGTACTGATATTTTGATTGATTGATAGGTTAATCAATTGATGGTTGAATTGATTTAATAAAAGAATTGTTCGATTGAGACATGGATGAATTGGTTGATGAATTAGTCGGTAAATGGATTGGATTAACTGTTGGATGGATAAATTTATTGATGCTTGAATGATTAATTGATGAATGGTTTTATTGTGTGATGGTTAAAGTGGATTGTTTGATTGATTGATTTTAAAAGTATTTTGTTAAGTGTGAAGGTTGAAGATATTTGACTTATTTTGATTAAAAGGTGAAATTGGTGGTTGAATAAATGGATTGACTGAGGGTTTAAAGCACAGATTTAAAAGTGGTGGCTGGACTTATTCATTGATTTTATTTCATGATTGTTTGATTTTATTGATTGGTGTTATGATTAGTTGGTTGGTTTGCTGATTGATTGATTTGTGGTTTTGTTAGTGAGTTGATTGATTGGTTGGTTGGTTGGTTGGTTGATTGATTGATTGATTGATTGATTGATTGATTGATTGATTATCTAGAGGCTCCTACACTGTGGCTGGCTGGAGGAATGGTGAGGATGAGAAGCTGATGGCTGGGATTAGAGGAAGTAATAGAAAAGGATTTATCATCTGTATTCATCATGACAAGGTGGGGAGATCAAAATTGCTAAATTTTTCATCTCATAAATTCATAGAGAATAGAATATATAGAGAGGAATTTACTGGAAAAAAGTGTAAAACGGCCATTTTGTTGTACTGTTTCCATACTGCAGGTGTACTTCACATATTTATGTTATATAACCTGTTGGGCCCTGGAATATCATTTATAGAAAATCTAAAATTATTGTTAAAAGAAACCCATATTATGAAATAGGCTGGTTTCATAATTGACCATTGATCATTTCACATAGACTCTAAGCCTTCCACTTTACAAACGATGATTTTCCGTTATAACTATAAATCAAATGATGATTTTTAAACACCTAATTCATTTTATAAAGTTTATTTAACAGTTTAAAAAAATCGAAATTGAAATGGATAGTCTAGGGAACATACTGTATTAATGTACTCTACTGCATATAATTTGTGAACATTTACATGATTTGTACACTTTGAACTCCCTTTCAGGCTGAAAGGGACTGAAAAAATTCATACCAACAAATTCCTTTAATTCCTCTCTATATATTCTATTCTCTATGCATAAATTTGATTTGAATTTTTTATCTGAATTGTTAAAATGGTTCTTTTGGTGTCTCAAATGATTGGTGGTCATCAGATTAAAATAACATAAAGACAGAAAAAAATGTTAAACTTTGAAACGCAAGCAATAGGATTGCATTCTTGGGAAAGACCAAAATGCCTCTAATTTGACTTATGTTTGAAACATTGAGGTAACATTTAAATAAGAGATTAATTTTGAAAAGATCAGTCTCTCCTCACTGCTTCACATCCCAGCACATGGATCTCATTCAGTCACACCTGATCCCCCCCTCTCATTACACCAGGGACAAATCTTTTGTTCCCATTCTGTTCCCAATCATTAAGTTTCCTGCTTGGGCTTGGCACAGTATTATTCTGCCTCTTGGAATTTTTCCTTTTTTTCTGGGGTTGAAACCATTTAAGTGGCTTAGGCATTACTGCAAACGACCCATATTTCTGTTTTTCTACCAGCACATTCATCTTGGCTGCCTGTGTTTACTGCCTTCTTTACCTTAAGCACCATATATTCATATCCATTTACTTCCAATCATACAAACTTTTGCTTTCCACTATTATTAATTAGCAACTTTTAATTCCCATAGGTACACTTCTTTAAATTATTATGTATCATGCAACCTGTTTTTTACATGTTCTTGCTTTAACATTTTCTTCTATTTCATTGTTGTTTTCATATTTTGCATCCAATTTGTCCAATTTTTTAGTATAGCTCCCTGTTTTGTCCCCATTAAACAAATATTCCCGAAAGGATTCACACCTTCATGATTGAATCTCTGCTTATATAAGCAATCTTCCACACAAACCTCACTTTTCACTGCATAAAATAAACCTCATTGGCATTAACCCCGATTCACACCAGGTTGCAACTTTTAAGGTTGACATAGGGGGTTGTAGAAGGAAGTTTCCCACCATACATTGCATTTTCTCCATCTCCCTGAGAGTAGTTTTGATGCATATAAAATTGATGGCCTGCACATGTCTCCCATAGAGCTCTTGTTATTACTGCTCTGTCAGAATACTGTGGTCATTCCTTCATGCCCCACACTTGAATCTATTATTTCCTCTCTTCCCCATATCATTCCACCTCTGTTATAACCTGGACCTCCCCCACCCTGTTTACTTGTTTACTTGAAGAGAAACTTCTAAAGGATCATCTTGATCCAAGGAATAAGTGTCAGCTTTACTTGTGACCCATACCATTTCCGTGAACAGAGGTTTGATAGATTATTTCATCAGGGTAGGGGAACCTTACCAAATTGTCATTACCAAATTACCATTACTCCGCCCATCCTCTGTTAAAACCTGGACATTTTGAAGAAAATTGTTTGATGAATCATATCCTAGTTGCCAGTATGGGATTCCTTTGCCAACCATATTTTTGTAATCGAAAGTACAATCTCTCCATTGTTGTTCCACCTTTACATGTGAGCAGGATGGACTGAAAGAGTTAACATTTTAAACTGAGTTCCAACCCTTAGTTACAGTTGCCATAAACTTTTCCATTTCTTTAGTTCCAACAGCTGCAACTTAGTATGGAACTTCGTTCAGGTGGTTCTGATTGAACTATTTCTCTAGGTCCTCTTAATAGTTTGTCTGTGGTTCTGAGTTTTGTCTATTCTACTGAGGTTCTCTCAAGGGAGCTCTTTAAACACTGTTGGTCTATTATTTCCTCTCATCATAATTCCCCATATCATTCCACCTCAGTTATAACCTGGACCTCCCCCACCCTGGATCTCTTAAGAAGATCTTGCATTTTTTGTGTAGATTTATCTGCTACACTTGTAACCATAACTTCACTTATTTTTGTTCCTGGTGTTATTAGAAAAGTATAGAATACTTTTAAGAAAATTGATTGATGAATCATATCCTAGTTGCCATATTTTTGTAATGAGAGTACAATCTCTCCATTGTTGTTCCGCCTTTACATGTGAGCAGGATGGACTGAAAGAGGTTAGATTTTAAACTGAGTTCCAACCCTCAGTTTCAGTTGCCATAAACTTCTCCTTTCATTTAGTTCCAACAGCTGCAACTTTGTACGGAACTTCATTCAGGTGGTTCTGATTGAACTATTTCTCCAGGTCCTCTTTATAGTTTGTCTGAGGTTCAGAGTTTTGTCTATTCTGCTGAGGTTCTCTCAAGGGAGTTCTTTAAACACTTTTGAATCTATTATTTCCTTTCATCATACTTCCCCATATCATTCCACCTCTGTTATAACCTTGACCTCCCCCACCCTGGATCTCTTTAGAAGATCTTGCATGTGTTGTGTAGAGGCATTGTAACCATAACTTGACACTTTTTGTTCCTGATGTTATTTGAAAAGTATAGAATATTTTTGGGAAAATTTTTTGATGAATCGTATTCTAGTTGCCATTAAGGGATTTCTTTGCCAACCATATTTTTGTAATGAGAGTACAATCTCTCCATTGTTGTTCTACCTTTACATAAGAGCAGGATAGACTTAAAAAGAGGTTACATTTTATACTGAGTTTCAGCCCTCAGTTTCAGTTTCCATAAACTTCTTTCCTTTAGTTCTAACAGCTGCAACTTTGTACAGAACTTTCTTCAGGTAATTCTGATTGTACTATTTCTCCATGTCCTCTTTATAGTTTTCTGAGGTTCTGAGTTTTGTCTATTCTGCTGAAGTTCTCTCAAGGGAGTTCTTTAAACACTGTTGAATCTATTATTTCCTCTCATCATACTTCCCCATATCATTCCACCTCTGGAATAACCTGGACCTCCCCAAGCCTGGATCTCTTTAGAAGATCTTGCATGTGTTGTGTAGATTCATCCGCTACACTTGTAACCATAACTTCACTCTTTTATTCCTGGTGTTATTAGAAAAGTATAGAATACTTTTAAGAACTTTGTTTGATGAATTGTATCATAGTTGCCAGTATGGGATTCCTTTGCCAACCAAATTTTTGTAATGAAAGTACTATTTCTCCGTGTCCTCTTTATAGTTTTCTGAGGTTCTGAGTTTTGTCTATTCTGCTGAGGTTTTCTCAAGGGAGTTCTTTAAACACTGTTGAATCTATTATTTCCTTTCATCATACTTCCCCATATCATTCCAGCTCTGTTATAACCTGGACCTCCCTCACCCTGGATCTCTTTAGAAGTTCTTGCATGTGTTGTGTAGACACATCGTAACCATAATCCATCCCCAGATCAAAATCAAAAACCTGCTCGTTCCTCTAGATAAACATCCCAGACTCCTCAGAGTAACTTTTGAGAAAATGCATACCTTCAACCAACACACTAAACTAACAGCCTCAAAAGCAAGTAAGAAAATCAACATATTAAAATCATTGGCAGGATCCACATGGGGCCAAAGCAAGGAAACTTTAATCCTTCACTACAAATCAATTTGTAGGAGCGTCCTGGAATATGCTGCTTCAGTATGGGCTCCAGCTATAAGCAACTCAAGGTGGTCTGATCTACAGACAGTTCAAAATTCAGCCTTGAGAATTGCTATTTGTTCTCATCTCATAAAAAATATAGACTACCTACACATTGAAACCAAGGTGCTCCCTCTAGAAATACACAGCAAAATATTATCTAGACCATTCTTTGCATCAACCCACCTACCTGATCATCCTGGTAATAAACACCTATTCAGACCTCAACCCCCTCGTCAAATGAAACTACAAAAATCCATGAACACACAGATGAGGTTACTCACAGATTCAGAGAACTGAAACCAACCAAACAAGCAGTGCTTAGGATCCGGATCCGGATCCACAGATCTGGATCCAAGGGGTAAAATATCAACCAAAAACTAAAAAAAAACTTTTTACTCCTAAAACCAAAATCTGAACTTTTGAAAAAAGAGAGATTATAAAAATTTCATGGTTCATAAAGTTTTGGGATAAAAATATGCAAAAAAAAAAATATTAAAAAATTTGTAAATTATTTTTTGTTAAGAAAATCTCAGTAAATTGGATCCGGATCCAGATCTGGATCAGCATCAAAATTAAATGGATCCTAAGCACTGGAAACAAGATTATAAGAGAGATATACACTCAGAAACAGACTCTCCCAAGTCAGGAGTGGCTTCTCAAAACTCCTTAATTCCTACCTCAACTGATTAGATGATAAAATTAAGAATAAATGTCCCAAATGTCAAACCACACCTCACGATACAAACCAGCCTTTCCACTACCAGCCTATGGACCCACCCTATTGAAGCCTCTAATTTCATTGGACTGGTAGAACTCTTAAGATCCTGACCTAGGATGAAGCTACAACAACAACAACAGCAGGATGGACCTGATCATCTTACAGGTCTACTCCTGGAGAAAGGACGCCTCGTCATTCATCCTGTCTCTGTAAGAAGTTAATCACACATATATAAGCTTGCTTCTTATTAGTTTAACTCAATAAGTCACTCAACCTCTTAGCCACTCCCTCTTAATACTGATATGTGAGCCTCAAGGTGAGGGAGGCTGTTTGGACCACACACTTCATGGTAAGTATAATCCTGGGTCAGGCCGTACAGATGGAAAGGTCCTTCTGCCGCCTAGACTGTCACCACAGTCCACCTTCACACCTGAGTTGTGGCTCAAGTGCCAGGTTTGAAAGTATATTAGTATTTTATGGTTGGGGTATGACCCTATCTGTGGTGCCAGGCTTGTTGGGGTAAGTTTGAAGGTTACATTGGTTTATTATACTAAGGAGACATTTTATTAATATTTTAATATAAATCTTAAATTGTAGATAAAGATGGCAGGTGGTAAGTCTGAATATGATACTGTGTATGCGCAATGGAAACGGGTCAATCTGAGACTTCCGTCTTTATCTGAACTTAGGTAATTACATTTTACATAATATGTCTTTATTTTACGGGTTTTCTAATACAACTTGGCATAATATGTAACTTTTTTGCGGTTTTCTGTGTAATAAAACTTTACATAATTTGTCTCTTTAATCTATTTTTTTTTATGTATTACAACACATAATATTTCTCTATTTTCTGGGGTTTTTTTTATGTAATACAACTTTACACATCGTTTTTTAATATAATTAAACTTTACATAATATGTCATTATTTACTCGTTTTTTTGTAATACAACTTAACAAATTATTTATCTATTTTCTGTGTTTTTTTATTAGATATTTTCTGTGTTTTTTTATTTAATAAAACTTTACATCAGATGTCACTTTTTTGCTGGGTTTTCATCTTTAGACCGTGAAAAGAATTTAATGACTAATTTTTTTTCATTCACATTATGAAAGTGGTCTCATTAAATTCTAACATTTGTTAAACTTTTTTATTTTTTATTCAGGGGTGAATAATTGTATTTGCTACAGTTGCAAGAAAATCTATACGTAACATGAAATCTTATATGTATTTGAGATCATAAATAATTCCTCTTATTATATAGTTAATGAGAAGATAAAAAATGTTTTGAATTTCTAACATGTAACTGAAAAAATTGGTTCTCTCATACTTGTGGGTAAGATATAAACTAGAGGAGCTACGAGCTCACAAAGTTGAACTAGTAATCTCTCACATTTCACCATCTCATTCTGTCAAGTTGGCAGTGATTAGGGGAAAACATATCGTGACAAGAAGAGGGGAAAATATATTTTTTTGCCCAGGGAAAGCTTGAATAATCTGTCCGCTGCTTGCAATGATCCTGGGAATGATAAATGGATTTCAAAGCTTGCCTCTGCGCATTGGTTAGCTCATGTCAAAGATGTTTTAAATGCAGGTAAAGAGAATATTAAATGTATAAAAAATTCAAGAATTCAAAATAAATCACATTTGTTGGCTAACTTTTGGATGCTTAATATCATTACAAATATTAACTATATCTATATAAAATGAATAATGATGCGTAATTTAACTCTAAATTCAGTAATCGCCCCCACCCCTCCTCTAGTTTTTTGGTCCTACCACTTTCATTTTTGACACTATCACAGTGATTTTTTTCACTTTTAATAAATGGATGTTTAACGGTTTTCTTGTAAACATTTTTTTCCATAGAGTAGGGTACATGGCGGTTAAAAAGTCTGATCTGTGTAAAAAAAGATTTGAAATAGACCATAACTGTTTTTATGGCTAAAGCTACAGATCTAAAAGCTATCTTTTTGAAAAGCTTTTGAGAAATGGATGTAGAAACATGTGTCACACTTTGATATATGTTTAAAACAAAAAAAAGCATTTTTTGGCATTTTTTCAAGCCTCCCTAGCACCCAAACTATAAAAGTTATCAGACTAATGTTTTTTTCAATGCGCTGGCCTTGAAAACTTTGGCTATGAACATATGGGATTTCAAACATATACCTATTTTCTGGGGGGGGGGCGTCGGACGCCCCCCAGGCTATTCATAGATTCAGACCCCCACAGCCTTTATACTAGGGTTAACTTATACAGTAAAAGCTGTTATAAAAAAATGTGTTATTTTTGTTGACATAAATCATGTGTTAGCTTAAATAAGTGGATTGTCAACCAGTGAAGATTGACTGTGATCTTATTATTAGTATTATTAATAATTATTATTCTACAACAGTTACTGTTTTATTACATTATATCAGCTGGGTTTTTTGGCTAGGTTAAATGATAATACAACAGAAAATAACGAAAATCTTCTGATTTTTTTCAGCATGTTTAGCGGCCCAGCTGATAGAAAAGGAAAATGCGCCAGTAGTTGTAATTGAACAGGAGGCAGGTAGATAAAAAAGTTTTAATTTAGATCTTATTATGATGGGTTGAATATTGATTGGATTATTTTTAAAATTTAAATTGTTATTTAGATAAAACATGTTTTATAATTTATCCTTGAATACTGATGGATTGATTTTCATTTCAGCTGATCTAAGCTTGATCCTGGTTTCCCTGGCGCAGATAATTTTAAATCCCGACTCCCGGACTCTTCATGGGCTTGAGGCGCTCATAGAACGGGATTGGATACAAGGTGAGAAAAAATATTTTTTATGAATTTGTTCGCAGAATTCTTCAAATTCTGAAAATGTTGTCTTTTCATTAAAAATTCTAGGAAATTTTAAGAAACGGTTTTAAACATTGAGACATTACAGAAACCAACAACTGAATAAGATCACTTATTTTCGATGATAAGAATTAATTTTTATTTTCTCAACCTGTTCCTAAACAACTAATTATTTTATTGTAGAATTTTTGTTACATTTTTCGTGGTTGTCATTAAATAATTTAAATTAACCGGATTCTCAAAATCATCCCTTCAAAATTAACAATCTATGAGGGTTTTGAAGATTGCTTTTGCGCTCTTGCTGAACCACTTGTGCTGTTTTTACAGTCTTCTAAATTTAATTTTCAGCGTAGAAACAATATAAGTGCACAACTATTTTTAACCAATGTATTGTTTACACACCACCCCATAGACAGAAATAATGAAGACATTAGTTTTAGAGTTTATTTCTTGATCATCTAGCTGTGAAGCTGAAAATATAAACATAATTAGCATGATATATTTATAAAATGTGATGAATGGTAAAATGTTGTGACCAGATAAAAGGATTTTAAGAGTTATATGAAAATTTTATAAAAGCTTAAAACATCTGTTTCAAAAGGCACATGAGAAAATTTTACGACATACAATGGTGTCCCAAGCTTTCTAATATAAATCTTACATTTTGATGGCGGGTTTTTTTTCGCACGTTGATCCAAATGTCTTCTGTTGGGGTTTTATCAGGTTTTAAGTTCTCCGTGTGTCAATTTAATTTCTCCTGCGAATGTGTAAAGAACTATTAGCAACTAGTTTTTAACAAGAATTCAGGGTCAAATAATCACTATTTTATCTCACCAACCTTTTTTTCCCTTCAGGTGGATATAAATTCTGGACGCGGCATGGTAGTTCAAGTCCTGACCGCGAGACATCGCCAGTGTTCCTTCTCTTCTTAGATGCAGTCTTCCAGATATATACTCAGTTCCCTTATTCATTCGAGTTCACAGATAGATTGCTAGGTAGTACATAGTTCACAGATATATTGATAGGTAGTACATAGTACACAGATAGGTTGCTAGGTAGCACGTTCATGGTGCACAGATAGGTTGCTAGGTATTACATAGTTCACAGATATATTGATAGGTAGTACATAGTACACAGATATATTGATAGGTAGTACATAGTACACAGATAGGTTGCTAGGTAGTACGTTCATGGTGCACAGATAGGTTGCTAGGTAGTACATAGTACACAGATATATTGATAGGTAGTACATAGTACACAGATAGGTTGCTTGGTAGTACGTTCATGGTGCAAAGATAGGTTGTTAGGTAGTACATAGTTCACAGATATATTGATAGGTAGTACATAGTACACAGATAGGTTGCTAGGTAGTACATAGTTCAAAGATATATTGATAGGTAGTACATAGTACACAGATAGGTTGCTAGGTAGTACGTTCATGGTGCACAGATAGGTTGCTAGGTAGTATATTGTACACAGATATATTGATAGGTAGTACATAGTACACAGATAGGTTACTAGGTATAACAGAGTACACATATATATTTATAGGTAGTGCATAGTACACAAATAGAATGCCATGTAGTACATAGTACTAAGAAAGATTGCTAGGTAGTACATAGTACACAGACATATTGCCAGGTAGTATAAAGTACACATATATATTGCTATGTAGAACATAGTACACATAGGTGGCTATGTAGTACATAGCACACAGTTAGATTGCTTGGTAGTACATAGTATACTGATAGATTGCTACATTAGTTAGCAATTGAACAAGAGTTTTATATTTATAAAAAAAAAAGTTTACACATCTAATTTAGGAATTAAAAAAATTTACAATTTGAATTTTTAAAAAAAAATGTTGAATTTAGTTGTTTTGGGAGATCACAGTTTTTCTTCTCCGTTCGGAACCTTTCTCTCAGATTGTGAGAAGGAACGGTGTTCATATTCAGGAATTCATCAACATCAAAAAAATATATTTTAAAATTGATCCGTACTGGATTGTTTACATTCATCCCACATTGGCAATGAGATGAGAGGTCGGAACTGATGTGTTAAGTATCGTTAATCCAGAAGGCTTAATCTCTATATCCAATGTGGGCACTTTTAAATTAAAGATCAATGCTTAGTTGTCTCAGCAGTGTTTGACCAACACGGGATATCGGAGAGATTCACAGAATAAAAGTGCTGACTTCTGATGAGCAAAATTTGTTTTGATTTAAAACTTTTTTGGTAAATAATTTATTTATGTTGATAAACATTTAGTGCGTGAACAGACAGTCAGTCTTTGGTCCTATCTGAACCAGGTAATAAACTAGAAATCCTTTGGTCCTATCTGAACCAAGTAATAAACTAGAAATCCTTTGGTCCTATCTGAACCAGGTATTAAACTAGAAATCCTTTGGTCTTATCTGAACCAGGTATTAAACTTAGAAATCCTGTGGTCCTATCTAAACCAGGTAATAAACTAGAAATCATTTGGTCCTATCTGAACCAAGTATTGAAATAGAAATCCTTTGGTCCTATCTGAACCAGGTGATAAACTAGAAATCTTTTGGTCCTATCTGAACCAGGTATTAAACTAGAAATCCTTTGGTCCTATCTGAACCAAGTAATAAACTAGAAATCCTTTGGTCATATCTGAACCAGGTATTAAACTAGAAATCCTTTGTTCCTATCTGAACCAGGTATTAAACTAGAAATCCTGTGGTTCTATCTAACCAGGTAATAAACTAGAAATCCTATGGTCCTATCTGAACCAGATAATACCTAGAAATCCTTTGGTCCTCTCTGAACCAGGTAATAAACTAGAAATCCTTTGGTTCTATCTGAACCAAGTAATAAACTAGAAATCCTTTGGTTTTATCTAAACTAGGTAATAAACTAGAAATCCTTTTGGTCCTATATAAACCAGATAACAACAAGAAATCCTTTAATTAGGTTGAGATATTATCAAGTATGTTGAACAGTCTCTATATACCTAATAACTCTGTGATCTGGCCAAGTGTGGCACCAATGTCCATTATTCTCTGGACATCATACTATCTTCGTTGGGTTCAGGTACAATTTTGAAAATTGACTGAATCTGGTAATTTCCTAGCTGGAGAATTGAAGACCCCCCCCCCTCTAAGAAGGAAAATTCTGTGCACCACTGTACTTCATAATTTAAACTTTAATATATTACTTTTGATCTCATGGTCACGCTCAGTCTAGAAATTGTCTAAACCCCAAAATATTTAACGTATTTTTCTGAAACGTTTGATATGTCTTACGTTCCGTGGTTTTTGATGTTTTTTTAATATAGAAAACCTGAAGATGGGGGGAGGGAGGGGGTCCAATTCTTGAGCTACGATTGACCCTAGCTGGCTTCGTGATAAATGTTATTCTAAGAGCTTGCCGTGTAACAAATTTACCATGAATTGATGTTTGAAAACTTGTCTGTTTTATCCTGAGAGTTATCTGTTACTAGGATCAAAATAATTATACTTATGAGAGGAGAAAGATTACTGAAATAATAGAACGGAATAAGGTAAATTCACATTCACATTAAAAAATCTCTTATTGAAACTATATACTCCAAGACATGTTATCAGTACACCAATTTGTACTATTTAGATATTTAATAATAATTATAAATATGTAAATAAATAATATACATACCCTTTTTTTAAACCCTCAGTTTTGTTCCTTAAATCTTAAAAATGCAATTATCCTTTCAAACATTTATTTGGTAGTTTTCACCACATGCAAAAACTTATTGAAAAAAGGGATTGGTTTATGCCACACACAAAAAATGAAAAGTTAAATTTCATAACATTTTATAATTGTTTTATTTCTATTTCTATTTAGACAGCCAAACTTCAGGCGCTTAGACTTCGCCGAGAACTACAGGAGCTTCAGGTTAACTTTCTAAATAATATAAAATAAATTTTAATTTAATTTCAATTTTAATTGAGTTTTGATATCTTTTTATCAAAGATTGTAACCCCAATTTTACCTGTAAAGCATCTAGAATATAACTAGGGAAAAATACTTTGACTTTGAATTTATAGTTCAAAATATCAAAGGTTTTCAACATTACGTTGCAAAAATAAAAAGCCAATAAAATTAGAGTTTGTCGCAAGTGTTAAATTCCTTTGAGACAAGTAACTTTAAAGGTCACCTCTCTCTTATTTTACATTAATCATACTATTACAATGAATGAAATTTTACAAACAAATAACCACAATTTACTATATAGCTGAAAACTTTATAATTGGAAACCTTTCATTCCAATCGTTTAATCTAAATATCCAATGTGGACACTTTAAATTTCCTTCTTAATCCCCTCGTTAGAAGGAGTGAATTGACGAAATGGTATAAAGGGGTCCGAAATCTTTTGCAGAAAAAAAAATTTGATTTTTGCAGGATGAAGCACTATCTCTTGGTCTGCTGTGTACGGAGGATACAGAAAGACGGGATAGTGACAACTCCGTTCAGACTTAATACAGGGGTCACCAGGAAACAGTAGAAAACAGGGGTAACTAGAAAACAGTAGAAAACAGGGGTAACCAGGAAACAGTAGAATACAGGGGTAACCAGGAAACAATAAAATACAGGGGTAAATAGGAAACAGTAGAATACAAGGGTAACCAGGAATCAGTAGAATACAGGGGCAGGAATCAGTAGAATACAGGAGTAAACAGGAAACAACAGAAAAAAGGGGTAGCCAGGAAACAATAGAATACAAGGCTAATCAGGAAACAGTGGAATACAGGGGTAACCAGGAAACAGTAGAATACAGGAGTAACCCGGAAACAGTGGAATACAAGGGTAACTAGGAAACATGGAATACAGAGGTAACCAGGAAACAGTAGAAGACATGGGTAACCAGGAAACAGTAGAATACAGGGGTAACCAGGAAACGGTGGAATACAGGGGTAACTAGAAAACAGTAAAATACAGGGTAACCTGGAAACAGTGGAATACAGGGGTAACTAGGAAACAGTAGAATATAGGGGTAAACAGGAAACGGTGGAATACAGGGGTAACTAGGAAACAGTGGAATACAGGGGTAACAAGGAAACAGTAGAATACATGGGTAACCAGGAAACAGTAGAATACAGGGGTAACCAGGAAACAGTAGAATACAGGAGTAACCAGGAAACAGTAGAATACAGGGGTAACTAGGATACAGTAGAATACAGGGGTAACCAGGAAACATGGAATACAGGGGTAACCAGGAAACTGTGGAACACAGGGTAACCAGTAAACAGTAGAATACAGGGGCAACCAGGAAACATGGAATGCAGGGGTAACCAGGAAACAGTAGAATACATGGGTAGCCAGGAAACAGTAGAATACAGGGGTAACCAGGAAACAGTGGAATGCAGGGGTAACCAGGAAACGGTGGAATACAGGGGTAACCAGGAAACAGTAGAATACATGGGTAACCAGGAAACAGTAGAATACATGGGTAACCAGGAAACAGTAGAATACATGGGTAACCAGGAAACAGTGGAATGCAGGGGTAACCAGGAAACGGTGGAATACAGGGGTAACCAGGAAACAGTAGAATACAGGGGTAACCAGGAAACAGTGGAATACAGGGGTAACCAGGAAACAGTGGATTACAGTTGGATGTATTGATCTAAATGTAAAAAAGTACTTTTGTCAGATTATCTGTGATTTTAAATCTAAATGTTCTCGTATACAGTATTGGGTTTCTAAAAACCTAAGATTGGCATTATAACGATTAATGTTTCTATAAATATATATGTACAGTGATTTATTTTGTTTCTGTTTTTTATTTTTTATTATTTATTAATCGGGTTGTTTTATTATTTAATTTGCCACTTTCTAGAATAATAGGCTCATCTACTATTTGAATTCTTATTTGTGGCTCTTCTTTGAGCATCTTGTCTTTGTAACAATGTCACCATAAAAAGTGGATGAAATAATATTTTTGTGGATTTTCATTTATAAAAATAGGAAAGATGTTGACACATTTTTGTAATTCTGCGCAAAAAAAAACTAGATTTCAAATTAATATTAAACTACAGAATTATTTCATTTCAAAAAGACAACTTTTGCACCGGTAGATTACATATCGATTTTTGAATGAAATTATGTTAAATTTAGCTAGCAGGGATAATTCAGTAGATAGATTAAGCGCTTATTCAAGTCTAGGCGGAGTAAATTATAGAACAATCTTATACAGGGTTACCCACAAAGGATGAGATTTCAGAGACGATTGTACATAATTACAGTCTTTTACCTTATATTCATGAAACCCTCCAACTATTAAACTTGAGTTTTTCTGAATTAAATATTTTGAACAAGCCACTAATCTACAATATTCAAAGATGCGAAAAAAATCTCTTTTTTTGAAAAAAGTGCTTTAATGTATTTTACTACATTCGTGCAATTTTGCAAAGATAAAGAAATCTGTCTCTCATTGAATAAAAATTTTTATATCTTTTACGAAGTTTTTTTTTGCAATTGGCAACGATCAAAAAATCTGTTTTTCTTAATAAATAAAGCCTTTAATTTAACCTTTATCTGTTATGTTTACGGAGTTTAAGGTCGTCTTTAGAGTCTCATCTTTTGTGGGTAACCCTCTATGTACAGAAGACGTTCTGACCTCTGCAGTTAAGTTAATTCGTCAACTTCAAAAAGAAGTCTGAAACAAATCTGGGAAATATTGATGTTCTCATTTTTTACCCGTGATGAAGATGAAGTCTTTGCCACAAACTCTGATTTTCTAATCCCTAAATATTTGCATCAATGTTGTAAACCTTAGATATTTCAAATTATAAATTCTGCATTATGAATCGATATCTAGGTTTACACCATGAGGTTGCAAAGATATAGAGATTAGACAATTTGAATTTGTGGCAAAGACTTAATTTCTTTCTGCACTTGAATATCAGAGGATCATGATTTAAACCAATATTACACTGCTTGAAAAGGCGAATGTTCCAATAGATACAAGGTGTCCCACATCCAGAGGCGCAACTAGGACCTTTGCTAGNCCCCCCTCTTCGTTGAATTCAATATATGTATTATGTAAACAATACTTCACGATAAAGATCTGGTTTCTTGCAGACCTATAGATGTAACAGAGCGTCTCAAAAAACATGAAAATAACATCTTTTTCAATGAATCAATCATTTAGCTTTATTATATCTTATCTCAATAGTCTTAACGCAGATAGGGTTATATACGGGTAACACAAATGATGATCTTTTCTTTCTCAGATCATTTTCAAGCATTTACAAGATTAAATTTATTTGAAAAAGGCAGTAAATTTAACTCTCAAAATCAAAACTTCGAACTTTTGTTTTTTGTGTTTGGTCTTAAAAACGGCCGAACCAATTAGCATGTTTTTGGCCTTTATAGTTTCAATTTGGAAACTACAGATGTCGTATATAACAATACAGCGAGACGACTTTCTATTTCAATTTGGAAACTACAGATGGCGTATATATCAATACAGTGAGACGACTTTCTATTTCAATTTTTGATTTCTGCCAATCTATAAAACAACATGGACATATATAACATATAAATAGAAGTAGAGAGAAGCTGTCAAGTAACAACTTACTTTTGTTGACTTGTAAAAAATTGAAATCGAAACTTGAATAGATAAAGGCGTCTTTATTGTATTGGTATAAACGCAGACCACTGTAGTCAAGGAACTATACAGGAACACCCAACTCAGATATACGCATATGGGAGGAATGTAAACATACCCAGTGCCCCCACCCCACAGAAGTTGAATGGAAAGGACTACAGCTCTAATGGGATACTACAGTTCAACAAAAAAAAAACAAGTTAATATATCAAGTTAGAGCGAAACATATGATATTTGGCTTTCTGGTTAACATGAAAAATACAATAGCAATATATTCTTATTCCACCCTTTGGGCCCTTTACCCTCAAAAATGATGCGTTGCCCCTGAATTCTTTGTTTTGATCTCCTCCCACTGCAGTACACAGATTTGACGCATCAGATATATATCAAGTCTATATATTTCTTGACAGTAGTTAAATCCAGACTTTTTAACAAAATGTTTGCACGACACCATGATATAAATTTCATATTTAACATTCATAAAAAATCCCAACTTTTTGCGGCTGCCCTGTCAAATAAAATGATAAAGATTTTATTGTAAAAGTTGAAACGGAGTTTAAGAATTTGAATATCAAACAAATAAAAGAATTCTAAATTTATATTCATTGCTACAAAAAATTCAATACGTTGAATACAATGGTCAATAGTTTCTGTATATGTTTTGGGGAGCGGCCAAACTCTGTTACTCGCGAATGCCGCAATTAATTATAAGAAGAGAGAGATTAGTATATATTCTAGGGTTAGGTTAGGTTTAGACACTTTCTGGGCCACGCGCTGAGGCTAGAACAGGCTATGGGGCCGAGCGCCACCGCTACAACTGACTCTCTCTGTCGTCAATTCATTGCGGCATTCGCGAGTAACAGAATTTGGTTGCTGCCCATTTTTTGTATGACTAATAGAGAAGATGTCAATTAACAGCTTCTCTTTGTTTACTTGTAAACTTGTAATTTGAAAAAAGCTTGTTAGAAATCAAAACTTACATAGAAAAGGGGTCTACATTGCATTGATATAAACGCCGACCCTGATAATATAAAGTATATGTCTGATAATGTCAAGAATATGACTGATAATGTCTTGTATATGTCTGATAATATATAATTTATGTCTGATAATGTCTAGTTTATGTCTGATAATGTCTAGTTTATGTCTGATAATGTCTATTATATGTCTGATAATCTCTAGTATATGTCTGACAATGTCTAGTTTATGTCTGATAATGTCTAGTATATCTGATAAGATGTTAGGTACTTTCCCAAAGGCATTTTCCCAAACGGCAACTTCCCAAATATGCAATTTCCCAAGCGGCACCTTCCAAAGTCTATGTCTAGTATATGACTCATAACATCCAGTATATGTCTGATAATGTCTAGTTTATGTCTGATAATGTCTAATTTATGCCTGATAATGTCTAGTTTATGTCTGATAATGTCTAATTTATGTCTGATAATGTCTAGTTTATGTCTGATAATGTTTAGTTTATGTCTGATAATGTCTAATTTATGTCTGATAATGTCTAGTTTATGTCTGATAATGTCTAGTTTATGTCTGATAATGTCTA